CACCTTACATAATAATAATAATAATAACAGTTTGAAGATATTTTGACGTTCACATGTTGTTAACTCGGTTAATTTTTTAATGTTTGACGAATAAAAAAAAAAAAAAAAAAAAAAAAAAAAAATGGAGTTAATGAAGATTTCACTTTATGAAATGATGTTTTAAACTTCCCCCGCCTCAGGGTAAATATTTTAATTTGTTTTTCATTTTTTTTTTTTGTTTCAGTCAAAATCAAAATGACGGAATCGAATAATAATAATAATAATAATAATAATAATAATAATAACAATGCAGTGAGGAGAATAGCTGATTTTTACGTAAATCGTAGCATATTTATAACGGGTGCCACTGGTTTTATGGGAAAAGTACTCATTGAAAAATTATTATACAGTTGTTCGGATGTTAAAAATATTTACATACTCATACGGCCGAAAAGAGATAAAACGGCAGAAACAAGACTAGAAGAAATGTTTAAGCTACCCGTGAGTATTTTATTTAAAAAAATTGTTATGTTGTTAAATAAAAAAAATTTAATTTTTTTTTTTTAAATCAGTTGTTTCACAGGGTGCAAAAAGAAAAACCTCATCTATTTAAAAAAATAATACCCGTTTTCGGTGACATAACGAAAGATGGATTGGGTATAACGAACGATATGAAAAAAAAACTTTGCGATGAAGTATCAATTTTTTTTCACGGTGCTGCAACCCTTAAATTGGAATCAAATTTAAAAGATGCCATGGAAATGAATGCTTGGGGTACGTGGAGAGTTTTACAATTGGCTAAACAAATGAAAAACCTCGTGGTAAGTTTATTTATTTATTTATTTATTTTCATTACAAAACACTTTTCAACACTCCCCCTCCGTTTAATCTGGTTCATTTTTTTTCTTATAACTTACGTAATTTAATAATAATAATAATAATAATAATATTTAATCGGTATTTAAAAGAGAGACAGACGAAAAACATTGAGAGCTCACGTTGTTATCTCCACCAAAAAATTAATTACTATTTTTAAACAAATAAATAAATAAATAATCTCGTGGAGCAACTTTCTTTTCATCATCGATAATTTTTTTAATCGTTATCAGGTACGGATGAACAAAAAAAAAATTTTTTTTTCCAATCACTATTATTATTATTATTATTATTATCGATACGGTGGTATTTTTTATTTATTGAGTTTATACATGTTTGTTGTTTACGTACCTTTTACGCCCGTTTTTTTTAAAAAAAAAAAATTCGTTTTGTTATTAAAAAAAAAAAAAAAAAAAAGTATTCACGCGATGATTACCGACCACGTGTTTAAGTTGATGATAATAATAATAATAATAATATATTTTTTCCCATTTACACAAACGTAATTTTTTTTTTTTACATCATTCGTAGGTAACCTTGCAAAGTTTTTTTTTTATTTTCTCTTAAAAAAAAAAAAAAAAAAACGATTTGATTTTCGAAATCGAATAAGAAAAACATTGAAAAAAATTTATTGCATTGAGTGAAAAGGTCAAAAGGTCAAAGGAATGAATGAAAACGTAGTAGTAAACTTGTACTTACTATAATTTTATTGTTATTATATAAATAATTTTTTTTTTGTTTTCGGCGAAGTTTATTTTAATAATTATTAAATTATTTACCATTATTATTATTATTATTATTATTATTATTATTATTATTATTATTAATTTGTCGTAGGTTGTAATAAATAATTTTTTTTTTTTTTTCGATACTCGATCATTAATCGATTTAATTATCGAAATTTAAAATTTAAAAAAAAATTTACGTAATAAAACACAAAATTCGTTTTTGACGAGTAGTAAATTGAAATCAATAATTAACCTCGTCTTGTAACTTAAATCGTTTCTCTCTCTCTCTCTCTCTCTCTCTCTCTCTCTCTCTCTCTCTCTCTCACTCTCTCTCTCTCCCTCTCTTTCTTTCTCTCTCTCTCTCTCATAAGAAATATTACTCATGAAAAATCCATAAAAAATAATGAAAAAAATTTTACGTGTTCAAAGAGTGAAAAAAAAAAAAAAATGGAAAACCGTTGAAATAATAATAATAATAATAATAATAAATATTGATTTACTATTAAACCATTAAATATAAAAAATTAGAATAGTAGTCGAGAGGTAAAAATAATAATAATAATAATAATAATAATTTTATTGTATTTTTAAGTTAATGGATCGTTATTAAAAAACGGTCCACCGAAAAAAAAAAAAAATAATAATAATTAAAATATACATAATGTATAATGATTTAATCGTAACGGGGGGGAGGGGAGAGGGGGGCTGTTACAATTGTGTAATCGTCACTTAAGAAAAAAAAAAAAAAAAAAAAATTATAACTTTGACCATGAATAGTCACGTATTATCATTATTATTATTTGTAACAATGAGGGGAGGAAAGTTATGATTGAGGTCCGTTAGGAAAAGATCTTTAAACCCTTTTATAGCGACAACAACCACCGTAAAAAAAAAAAAATTCGGGGAGATGATATAAGAAAGAAAAAAAAAAAAATTAAAATTTATTTAAATCGTTTGTAATAATAATAATAATAATAATAATAATGAGTTTGTGTTGAAAGTTGCGTAATTGTAGTTTGAAAGTTATGAAAAAAAAAAATAATTATAATTTTTTAGCATGTTTTAAAAAAAAAACCAAAACAAACAAATCATAAACAATCATGGCTACCTAAATAGATTTATTTATTTATATTTGTTTTTTCGTTACATAAATATTTTAAAGATTTTTTTTTTTTTTTTAAGGTAGCAACAACCATCTTTTGATGTTAAATAATTTTTTTCCGTTTCTTAACTACTTATTTTATTTATTTATTTATTTATTTATTCGAATAAATAATTAGGTGAGAAAATTACTTGATGAAAAAAAAAAAAACTTTTAAGCTTTCACATCTTCTGTGATTTATAACCGTCATTTATATATTTTTTAATTGTACAATTAAAAATTTTATTTTTTTTATTTATTATCAATGGATTATATTTTGAGGTCAGGGTCATCGTATACCTAGTGACGTCACTTTAACTCAGGGGTTAGTTTTATTATTATTATTATTATTATTATTATTAATACGTGTGTGTGTGTGTGAACGATCGGTTAAAACAAATTTCATAAAGTTTTTTATTATTATTATTTAAAATTTAATTGAATTAAAAATAATTATTATTATTATTATCGGATTTGATTTGTCACGTTAACTAAATTACAGACCTTTGGGTTATTATTATTATTATTATCATTATTATTATTATTAAAATTTAAAAAAAAAAAAAAAAAAAAATTGATATGTTGTAATTTATAACGCGGCATTAAAATACATTATACGGTTTTTTTTTTTTTACAAGACCGATAATTTTAGGGTTGTTGTTACTCTATGACAATCGATAGATCGATCGATATATCGATTTATATTTTTGTTTATACTCTTTGGAATTTTTATTTTTACACGTTTTAATACGTAACGAACAACAACAACAACAACAAATTTAGGCATAACGTAAAGAAGGTTAAGTTATGTAATTATTAAAATAAAACGATGAAGAGTTAATTGATTGATTTATATAAAATATAATGAAAGAATCATGAATTTAATATTGAATTTAATTAAAAATTATTATTCTCGATAATAATAATAATAATAATAATAGTTTTGGTGTTTTGGTTCAAATGTCAAGCGGCGAGTTGTAGATTAAAGAAATAAAAGATTCGAAAATTATTTTTTTTAAATTAATTAATTTATTTTACGTGAACATTAATTTAAATTTAAAAAAAAAAGAAACTTGCTTGATATATATTTTTTTTTAAAGTTTTAAATAACGTAGTACCTGTTGTTTGTTGTTTGTTGTTGTTTGTGGTTGTTTGTTGTTGTTGTGAGTCTCGTATATGAGAAAAATTTATCAACCTTGGACCTTCACGTCTTTCTCTCTCTCTCTCTCTCTCTCTCTCACGGTTGATTTACATTACATGTAAAAAAAATCGAATCGAGTTTTTTTTTTTTTGTTTTTGGGATTCTAATGAACGAGTAATGATGGTTGAGAAAAAAAATTTTATTCGTTACAAAATTTTTTTTTTTTAGTTTCGTCCATTTTTGATTTCGTACGATAAAAATAAATTTATTGAATTGTTACTTATCGTACCGAAAAAATTTCTGTTTAAAAAAAAAAAAAATTACCCAATTTTTTTTTTTTTTTTGTGGTTACGCATGTTGTTGTCGTTGTTACGTAATAAAATTTTTTTTAAATTCAAACAACATTTTGCCAAAAAAAAAAAATGATCTCGAAGTTATTAAATTACCGATATGTTGTTGTTTTTCTAATTATTATTATTATTATTATTAAAATTATTGCGTATTTCTTTTTTTTCTTTCTCCCCATTGCCTCAAAGGTTAATAATTTTTTTTTTTATATTAAAAATAAATTTATTCGTAATTATGGGTTTTTATTTAACTTATCACCTTCCTTTGAAAAATTAAAAAAATTTTTTTTTTTTGGTTTCCGGTTTTTCGATTTATTTTTAAGTTTTTTTAAACATTTTCAACGAGATTTCGATTCGAATTTTTTTTTTTTTTTAATAATATTTATCACAATTTTTATCTGAGTCCACTTTCCTTTTTTTTTTTTTTTTTATTGCGTGTTTTATTAAAACAGGTATGCGAAATATTTAATTACACATAACTTTTATTAAAAAAATTGTCGTGAGTTTCTAAAGAAAGTTTCTGTTCTTTAAATTTTAATATCGTTTAATGTCATCAAAGTCGTGGAAAACCACAAAAATTAAGCGTTTGTAGTAAACATTTCCGTCGTTAAATTATTATTATTATTATTATATAATTTTGGAAAATAAATAAATAAAAAAAAAAAACGTAATAAAACGCTTTTTTTTTTTTTTAAATTAATCAAAAATAAATTACGCATAAAATCATCGTAACGAACTTTTAAACCGTTTTACAAAAAAATTTGTTTCTTTTTACTAAAACATACTAATCGTAAACATAATAAACGCATGTTTTCGAATGTTAATCGTTGATGACGTCACGTCATGTTATGTTATGTTGATTCTCGTTTAACGAATCGTTTCTCTCTCTGTAACTTCGTATATTCAATGTCAATGTTTTTATAAATAATAAAATAATAACGACGAAAAAATTATTATTATTATTATTATTATTATTATTATTATTATTATTATTATTATTATTGTCATCATCAAAATCCTATAAGTGAAAAAAACAAAGAACGCGAATAAGAAGAAGGTTCGACGTGTTTTTTTTTTTTTTTCTCCACAAATTTTTATTAATTTTTTTGTACTTTGGAAAATTATTATTATTATTATTATTTTTTTTTTTTTTTTTTATTTTTTTTATTCTTATTTGTTCGTATGTATTTCTAAGACCTTCATCTTTATCCATCATAATAATATAAATATTATTATTATTTCCGACACTAGAGAAAATTCAATAATTTGTTTATATAAACTAAACATAAAAATATCCATCTTGGATTACAATAAAAATTTATTTTATTTATTTAAAAAATATTATTATTATTATTATTATTATTATTAATAATTTTTTTTTTAAGGTGTAAAGTGATAACAATTGTAAATAAATAAATAAATAAATTTGTCTCTTGAGGATACCATATTAACGAATAACTAAAAAAATAAATGAGAAAAGGTGTGAATAATAATAATAATAATAATAATAATAATAATAATAATAATAATTTAAAATGAACCTGTGCCTAAGGTCGAAAAATTTTACATTACCTTCACCCTTCTTTATTACTAACGACCGACGACGACATTTTTTTTTTTTTGATGATTTATTTAAAACAAAAATATTTATATATATTTAAAATAAAATTAATAATAATTATTATGTAATAATAAATAAATAATAATAATAATTAATAAATAAGTAGGTAAAAAAAAAAGTTCAAAACCGTGTAATTTTTTTTTTTTTAATATGGGATTCGATTATTATTAACCTGACCTAAAAAAAAAAAAAAAAAAAAAAATAACGGCTTAAACTTTTCCATCTCTTTTGTAAAAAATTATAAAAAACTCGACTGCCATGAACTGTAAAAATTATTATTATTATTACTCATGCTTTCACCTAAAAAAATTTAAACGATAGTTTTAAATATTATGTTTTAAAATCCCATCGTATAGTCTTTTTATTATTGTCACATTACGTACCTAATGACGTCACGTAATAATTATCCGAAAGGTAACAAAAAAAAAAATATTATTATTATTATTATTGTAATTATTAAATACGTAAGGATAACCACTTACTCCATGTTTTTTTTTTTTTTTTTTACTCTTGTAAATTACGAGGGAATATGAAGAGTTTAATTGATTATAAATGTTATTCCAAAGTTTTATTTAAAAAATTAACGATGATAATAATAATAATAAATGGGTTTTATTAAAGGTATTCGTACATTTGTCTACTGCTTTTTGTCACGTCGATGTTGAAGTTTTGGAAGAAAAAGCCTACGATTTCCCATACAAACCAAAAGATTTAATGAATTTAGTCACGTGGATGGATAATTCAATTTTGGATAAGATTACCATGGAGTGAGTAAATACGGTTTTTTTAATGTAAATTTCCCAATTGAAATTATTACCCGAAAGAAAAATAGGGGAGGGGGGGGGGAAAGAAAAGAAACAGACGAAAACAATTACAAACAAAAAATTGCGTTTGTTTGTTGTTTGTTGTTAAATTTTTTTTTTATAAATAAAAAAAATAAAAAGTTAAATATTAAATCGAGATAATAAGAAATTGAGAAAGAATTGCGGAAATAAGGAGGGCATGAAAGAAAAATAGAAAAATTTTCCATTGAAAATCAAGTTTTTTTCTCTTTTGCAACACACACACACACACACACACTTGGTCAATTTCGGTTTTTCGTAACGCCATCATTATCATTATCATTATTATTATTATTATTTTCTGTTAAAAAAAAAAAAAATACGTTCAAACGTTGATTTACTTTGAGGCATCAAATTCATTTGCCATTTGAGGGTTTGTTTTTTAAAAACAAGTTTTATATGTTTGTTTTTCACGTGGAAAAAATTATTATTATTATTATTATTATTATTATTTCAAGTTTGATTAAACCTCATCCGAATACGTACACTTTTACGAAACGTCTTGCCGAACGTTTGGTCATTGATGAATTTCCAAACATGCCCGTTTGTATTGCTCGGCCATCGATCGTTTGTCCTGCCGTTAACGAACCACTTCCCGGATGGGTAGATAATTTAAACGGACCGGTTGGTATCATGGTAGCAGCCGGTAAGGGTGTTTTAAGAAGTATGTATGCTAAAAAAGATTATTACGCAGAATTGATATCCGTTGATTTTGCCATTAACGGATTATTGGCGGTTGCAAAAACGGTAGCCTTGGAACCCAAGTAAGTAATTAATTAAAATATTTATTACTATTATTATTATTATTATTATTATAACGAGATTAATTCTTTTTTTCTCAATGACAGGCCTAAGGAAATTCCAGTTTATAATTTAACACAATCGGAAGAAAGGAAAACAACATGGGGTGAAATTTTAGAAAAGGGAAGATCATTCACACTTGAAATACCATTTGATTTAGTTTTATGGTATCCTGATGGTAACATAAGAGGTTCACTTTGGGTTCATAAATTTTTTGCTTTTTTCCTACATTGGATACCGGCGTATTTTATCGATTTCCTTCTTTTTATTTTCCGACAAAAACGATTGTAATTTTCATTAATGATTATCGATAAATACTTCTTCGAATACATGATTGCCACCATCGATATTTATGCAAGTTATGTTTGTTTGTTTGTTTGTTTTCCAGCATGGTTCGAGTTCAGAAAAAAATCGAAGTCGGATTGGAAGTTTTACAATATTTTACAACACACGTTTGGCGTTTTAAAAATGAAAAATTTTTAAAAGTTCGAGATAGCATGTGTTTGGAAGATAAAAAAGAATTCAGTATAGATTTTAAAAGCGTCGATGATTATTCATATATAAAAAGTTGTTTGATGGGAGCACGGAAATACATTTTAAAAGAACCGTGTGAAAATCTTCCGAGAGCAAGAACGAAAATAAGAATGTGAGTTTATAAAATTAATTTATTAAAGATTTTAAACGACACGAGCCAAATAAAAATTAGATACGATGACCAAGCAAAAAAAAAAAAAAAATCATTATTATTATTGTTATATAGCGTAACAACGACGTTATAATTATTTTAAATAATTATAAAGAGGTTAACCGACAAAAATTATACTCACCTGTTCCTTCATATTTAAAACCGAAAACATTTTTTTTTTTTTTTTTTTTTCCAGCATGTACGCCGTTGATCGAATCATCAGGTTCATGTTTTTAATTTTTTTGGCTCAAATGATTATTTCGTGGTGTAGAGCAACGAGTTACATATTCGATGCAACTGGAAAAATTTAAAAACGTACCATTTGTTAGAAGTTTTGTTTATTTTGACGATGTTCCCATTCCTAGACGAGTGTAATAAACAAACAAACAAACAAACATAACAATTTTATTCAGTTTAAAACCTCCTAAATGAAAATAAATTTATCCGGTAATTTTTCTTACACTATGCGTGCATTATTATTACTATGCAGTTTTCATCAGATGTGTCTCAATAAGTTTTTTTTTTTAAAAAGAATTTGATTTTGATATTTTTAATCATGAGATATTTACTACTCATAAAAAATGATTGTGGTTACCAAAAAAAAAAAAAAAAGACTGAATTGTATTTCTATAAAAAAAAAATTGTTACCATTTTATTCAATTCTTAATATTAAAAAACAAAAAGTATTTGTACGTCTCATGATTTTAATTTTTTTGTGAAATTGTAAATAACTTTTCTTTTTTTTTAAATAATTAATAAGAATTCAAATATATATATATATTTGTTTTTTTTTTATTCTTTTGCATAATTACAAGATTAGATTTAAATTTTTTTTAAAAATAAATAATAGTATTTAGATTTTATTGATTCATTAATTAAATTTATACAATTTTTTAATTGTAAACTGAAAATTAAGGGAAAATAATTGCGAGTTTTCGTTAATTTGAATTTTTCAAATGAAAACCATAATATTTTGTAAATATTTTTTGATTTAAAACTTTGCTCATGTTTTGTAATGTTTTTCACGAATGTGAAAAAATACATAAAAATTGATTTCTTTCTTTTTTAATAAGTAAAATATTTATTACATATAATTTTAATTTAATTAAATTACATTTACAAACATTTTTATGTGCGTATTAAGAAAAAAAAAACTGTACTTCGTGTAAATCCGAATAAGGTAAAATTTACGTAAGTTTTACATTCAATAAATTAAATTTATTATATACTGTTTAATGAAAATATACGCATATATATATATTATACTATAATAATATAATGTACATAACGTACCTTACTATATATATAATAATTATGTAAGAGTAATGTTTTTATAATAATATTTATATCAAACAAATTTTTTCAAACTTTAATTCCATTTTTTTTCTCCGATCGAAAAGGAAATTTAAAAAAATTCCTTTGAATTTTTATTTTCAAAGATTGGCAAAACTGATAGTTTTAGCGCCCCTGTGGTCTTTCAACGGTTCTATTTTTCACTGAGTGTCAAAAGTTTAAAATGCGAATATTTTGTAGTATATGCAAAGATATATTTATCCCGGATTCGGATATTTATGCAACTAATTGCGGGCATTTATATCACGGCTCTTGTATTTTTCGATGGTGTGAATCACATAATTCTTGTCCTCAGTGTAGATCTGCTCAAAAATTACAACCAATAAAAATATTCTTGGATGTTGAAAAGGGTAATGGACCTGATGTAAGCGTTTTAGAACATCAAATAGAAATTTTAAATAATGAACTACGTGCGAAAGACCTTGAAAACAAGGAATTAATTAAAAATGGGAAAAAGTTTGAAAAGACTATTAGTTGTTTGGAAGAATGTACAGCTGGTTACAAAGTTAAAAATGATATGCTTAAATCATCTATAAAAGCATTAAAAGAACAAATAGCTGCATTAACAAAAAAAAGTGAAAAATCTCAAGAATTAAAAAATGATTTTAAAATATTACAAAATAAATTGAAGAATTATGAGAGGTAAATTTTAAATTTCTTATTTATTTTTCAAAACGATTATGATTAATTGTTAAAGTGTAATTCAACAAATTATTATTTTGTAAACTTTAAAGTAATATTTATTTTACAAATTTTAGCCTCAACACGATTCTTAACAGTAGTTCTTATGAAGTTGAAAAATTTGTTAAAGAAACTCCAGTCACAGAATTTGGAATTAGACAGTTAAGTATTTATGTTAGTGCACTTAAAGATAAAACGGAAAAAGATAGAAGAAAACTTTTAGAGTTGAATGCCGAAAAAGAAGAATTACAAAGAGCATTAGAACAAGAACGTTTGAAAATCTCTAGTTATAAACAAAACAGCGATTTAGAAAAATTAGAAACTATGAAGTCGTTTAAAGAAAATAGTGAAAAATTATCGAAAAAATATAAAATTTCAGAAGTGAAATCGAAGGTAATTAAGTTGTAAAAAGAAATAACAAAAATTTACTTTTTTGCAAAATAATAATTGTATCTTTAATTTTAATAAAATTTAGGATTGTCGAAAAAGGTCAAATCTTAGTGTTGATTTCTCTAGCGTTCAAGAGAAAAAAATTAAAAAAGTATTAAGTGATTCATCCCAATCGAAAATTTGTAAAAAAAAAAGTAATTGGGAAGAATTTTTAGCAGCAGGTACAAGCAAGCAATTGGACCTGAGCAAGAATGAACCTTTACAAGTAAAGTCGATTAAATTTGAATTGGTTTATAGGTATGCCATCCTTTGTTTAATTCAAACAAATTATTTTTTAAAAACTTTTAAATATGGAATGTTTATTTAATTTTTATAATTTTAGGAATAATTCTTTTAGTGGAATGGGAGGAAGTAAAAAATTAAGCTTGGGAAGTATTTCAAAATCGGAAGAAATTTAAAAATTAGACTGAAAAACGTTTAAATTAATTTATTAAAAAAAAATCAATATTTAATATTTTTGTAAATAACAAATATGTAATTTATGTTATTGTTTTTTTTTACTGCACAATCTATGTTATATGGTATTATAAAGTATTTAAATTTTATTTTTTATAACATGTTGTTATTTATAACTAAAATAATTTTTTATAAAATTGAACATAAATGTTATCCGACAATATTTTTTTTATCGTAATTGAAAATTGAATCATTATTTATTGAAGTTAATCGGCCAACTTGTCTTTAGATGAGAATTAATTTTTGTGATCTAATATTATTATGACTAACCTAACAATAATAAATAATTTAAAAAATAAAGATTTATGATAAAATTAAAAATTTTTACAAACGTTTTTATTTTAATTTTTGACTTATAGATATTTATTATTAATTAATTATAGCTAAAATTTTAAAATATCTCTAAAATGTAAAATGAAATTTATGCAAATCTGTTATTTATTTTTCACTTTAAATTTGAAACGTTTCCTTTTGGTTTAGCATTTGATTATTAAGTGGTTGATTAAATTTTCAAGAAGAAAATTTGAAAATGTTTAGGTTGAAATAAAGTTAATTCCAAAGAAATAATTATCTGGCACTTTTAAAATTCAACAAATGTTGCACCTATGTTTAGCTTTTGAGATTGAGAATTTTAAATTGTATAATATAAAATTTTAAGTTTCTGAACGTACACCTCGTTCTCTTAGTTCACAGCAAAAGTGGCCGCTCCCTCCATGTTGATAAAAGTGCTGTAGACGTATGGGGATACAAAAAAAATGTCGTTGGAAAATCGTTCCAATTCGGCGACGTTTAAGCGTGCCGAACAGTTAAAACGTTGGGAAGAATCCGCGACTAATTTACAAGATTTCGAACCTAAGTTAGCTTCTCGGAGAATTCAATTTTCTTTAGGATGTGTATTTCTCGCGGCGTGTGCAGCGGGCGACAAGGAAGAAGTTTTACGGTTGCTTGATGATGGTGCCGATATTGATACAGCAAATGTAGATGGATTAACCGCTCTTCATCAAGTAAGATTTCGGTCATTCTTTTATAATTATCATAAGTGAGCACATTAATATTTTTATTAAGTTTCATCCATATGAATTAAGATGGCTGCCTTGTGCAGCTGAAGTTGCCTGGGGGTTGTTTAGTCGGTTATTTAGCAGCCTTGCGGTTTTAATTTAGGACATTATATCAATCTCATAATATGTGTAACCGATCTATGTTTTAATCATGCTATTTAAGGACATTTAAGATGACTAAGACATATATTTTATTAACTTGATGCTATTGAATCTCAATTTATCTTAAACAAAATGTGTAATATTCTATTCATTTTTTTAAAACTGAGGAAGAAATCTATGAATAATTTTTAAATATTTTAAACCTCGAATGAATGTTAAAAAAAATTATATAAGTAGATTTTCTGCTGAATTTGAAGTACTTAAAGTCATAAAATCATGGCTTTTTTTTTAAAAAGTTTTCTTCTTAGTTTTTTTGAACATTTATACATTACTTGATTACATACAAAAATGAAAAGTTATTAGATAAAAATATTGAAGTATAAATCAAGGCATTTTATGTATCCAATTATTTGTAATTATGACCGATAATAATATTAGAATTGAAAGTATTAGATAATGTATAACTCATTTACCCACATTATGGAATTTTTAAATTTAAAAGTGTAGGAGTGACCTTTGTCTTTTTGACATTCATTAAAAAAAATTTTTTTTTTTTGGCATGCAATGAACTTTATTTTATTATATATAAACCAATTACAATTAATGTTTCATAGATTTAAATTTTCAAGGATGATTGAAATTAAATTACTATCTTTTTTCCACGTTCATAACCATATTATCGAAAAGATTTAGTAAATCGTACATACAATTTTTAAAATTAAAATATTCAATTTTTTTTTTACGATTACATTTTTGAATTCAGGAAGAGAGAGAAAAAAAAAAAAAAGAAACCAAATTAATAGTTTCTTTTATTAAATAATTTATTGATATGTGTTAAAGAAAGTGTATCAATTATAAAAAGTCATTAAACTTGATGTATAAATTTATTTTTATATTTTGCTGAGTAAAATATGATGTAAATCCCGAGTGATCGATATATTTTTAGATATGGCCTTCCACAAATTTCTCTTTTAGAACACCTGTCACAGTTTGTTTAAATCAGATTTTTTATTTTTTAAGTCAACATAATTTTAATTATATGTGTTTTTACTGAATACACACACACACACACACACACACACACACATTTATAAATATAAAAAATGATAGTTTCGACTTAAAGCTTGACTCGATTAACGAAATACTTTTGTAACAAGAAATTGTTATTTTATATTTTTGATACTACATTCACTTTTGAGGTTACTTACTCTTTTTCTACTTTTTATTGTTCATTTTTTGTTTGGCCTTTGGAAAACTGAATATTGTCGATTGAGAAATTTGAAAAGAAAAAATTTTTAGTTTAGGGCTTTCAACTGAAATCAATCCCAATTAAAATAAATAAAAATGATAAGTTAGGTGTTGTATGTGATTTTTGATTGATTGATTGCAAATGTTTCATTTTTTATATAATTTGTGTGGCATTAATTCGGTTGTAAAAATAATGTTCAGGTTTTTTTTTTTTTTTCTAAATTGTCTGTCGTTCTTTTCTTTTTGAAATAAATTATAAAATTGGTGACAATTTAATATGTCTTTAAAAATTTTGGATGTAATAATTATTGGGAAAAATTATTGTATTCTTCTCGTGAAGTTAAACGTGGAAAGTTTTGTTTAAATGAAAAAAAAAAAAAAAAAATGAATACACATATAATTGTAAAGGTCAGGTGTAAGGTTTTTTTTTTTTTTTTTTTTTGTATTCAATTTATAATAGATTTATGGATGTAATTGTAATAAAAAACAAATATTTGACGTGTGAAATATTATGCCTTGAAAATGTTTTTCATTTTTTTTTTTTTTCGGATGAAATTTTATATTATAATTTTTTTTTTAAATGATAGTTGAATACTAATTTGTCCTTTTAAAAAAAAAAAAAAAAAAAAAAAATGTATTTTGCCATCAAATGAATTGATAGAATTCAATAAATTTAAATAATATTTGTTGATATAATAATAATAATGAGTAGAAAAACAATTAAATGTTTTCATAATTAATAAACTTTTTCTTTCTTTCTCTCTCTCTCTCTCTCTTTTTTTTTTCTTATCCCCCCCCCCTTCTTATGAATTTTTAGGATGTCAAAGGTGGAGGGGAGGGGGAAATTACAAATGATTTTTATACGAGTATGAAATGCAATGTAATTTTATTTGTTTTTTTAAATTTGGTTTTTTTTTTTTTTTTTATAATGTTGTAGCGTTAATTTCTCAACAAAATAAACTTTTTCTCGACAGCCCACGAGTGCACATGTTAAAAAAAAAGAAAAAGAAAAAAAATAGGCCTAAAAAAAGTTGGCTGTTATTCAATAGCATTAATTTATTAAAATTTAACAGGTTTAGCTTTTTTACCCTTTTTCTTTTTCTTTTTTTTTTTTTTTTTTTTTTTCCTAATTTAATTTAAATTTTATTTTATTTTGGACGTCTTTTCCCTTTCTGAGTTTTTAAAAATATTTGAAAAAAAAAAAAAAAAACTTTTTTTTTAATTTTTGACTTTTTCTTGTTTAAAAAAAAAATTTTTTTTTGTCTACAACGTTTTGTCAAATGTGTTAAAGGAAACAAAGGATTTTCTGAAAAAGTTTATATTATTAAGTTTAATAAAATTATTATTATTATTATTATCATTATCATTAACGTAATGCTTTATCAGCATTTAAAGTTTAAATGATGAATTGTTGAATGAAAATTACAAATTTTTTCCTAAAATTTTTTTTTTTTATGTAAAAAAAAAATAAAGGGGGAGGGAGGAGGTTTCAAGTAATTATTAGGTTAGAATAGGTGAGGTGAATTATTAGGTGAATAGAATAGGAGGTTTACAACCCCAAAATGTGATTGATATCAGGAAGGAAGGAATTTATTAACGTTTTATTACTTGTTGCTTAATTTTTTTTTTTTTTTTTTTTTGGTAATTACATAAATCAAAAATTTTTCAAGTATAAAGTTAAGTAAGTGATGGCTTTTAATTTTTACGTACAATTTTATTCGATAAATTGTTATTTTTATCACAGGGATTAAGTGTGTAAATTTGTACGATAGTTTTTCTCTCTCTCTCTCTCTCTCTCTCGTTCATGTGAGAAATTAAATTATTCATGGCGCTCACGAATTTTTTTTTTTATTTTGGTTTTTTTTTACATCGTCTGCTTTCGAAATCGTCCCGTTCGTTCGTTTTGTATCAAAACAAATGTATCGAAGAAGAAGAAGAAGAAATATGTTTTTTTTTGTGTGTAATAATAACAAGAGAGAGAGAGAGAGAGAGAACGTTATTATATTATTCACAATAATAATAATAATAAAAACAATAATTATTATCATTATTTTTGTCAGAATAATAAAATTTTAATGAATTTCATAATAACGAACAAAACGAACGTTTTTTTTTTTTAATTATTTCGATTTTATTTTGTTTCTTTTACAAAAAAAAAAAAAAAAAAAAAAAAAAAAAAAATTTTTCAAACATCTGCAGAAAAAAAAAAAACTTATATTGCAATTAATTGTTTCTCTCTCTCTCTTTTCCATCAGGAATTTTTTTTTTATTAGTTTTTTTCGTAAAACGCGGTTTTTATTTAAAAATTTTATTTTATTTTATTTTATTTTATTTTAATCTACTTGTCTAAGCTGCATTTTTGAAAAGAAAACATTTTAAAAAAAATAAAAATAAAAGGGGGGGGGCTTATTTTTCAACAATTATTATTATTATTATTATTTTGATTTTCTGTCTTTCTCGTTTACTTCGATGAATTTTTACACAAATTATTTGAATTCGAATAATAAATGAATTTAATTATTAAGGATTATCCTTCAATCAAATGGGGGGGGGAAAAAATGTTTTTAACAATATTAATCGGGTCAGTTAACTTTACTTGGGTGAATTAAGAGGATGAGTGGGCGTTAATATCTCATGTATATAATAATAATAATAATAATAATAATAATAATAATAATAATAATAATAATAATAATAATAATGATAATAAGAATCTTTCATTTACTGAATAATTTTAATTTATTCCCCCTTCTCCCTTTCCCACCCTGTCTTCTGGCAGCAAATAAGAAAAATGGTTTTTTTAAATTTTTTCCGGTTCAAGAGAGAAAGAAAAAAGAGGGAGAGGGGGAGAGAGAGAGAGAAAAAAATAATCACTGACTGACTGACTGACTTTTCATATCGAATATGAAATATTTATTTTCAGTGTTATGAAAAATTACTCTTGTATCGGTGTTATGAAAAATTTATTTACGAAAATAGGTGTAATAAATTTTAATGAAAATTAAAGGTTTTGATTAATCTTGTCAGCACATATCTTTTACCAGTCAATGTTCATTTCGTGATGGAACATAAATTTTTTTTCTTATACAATTATTTAAACGAAAACGGCATATAAATAATAATAATAATAATAATAATATTAAAGCGGTGAGAAAAAGTTTAAGAGAGTTTGTGCAAGCTTTTTCTTGTGGGCGTTTTTTTAAAAACTTGAGGTTTTTTTCTTTTTCTTTCTTTTTTTCCCTTTCCCCTCCCCCTCCCTCTCTCTCTCTCTCTCTCTCTCTCTCTCTCTTTCTAGTTTTATCAAGTGTATTTTTTTTTTTTTTTTTTTTTTTTTTTTTTTACACCAAGATTTGATTTGCTCAATAATTATTCAACCGCCGAGTCAAGGATTATTATTATATATCAGTTTCACAAAAAAAAAATACATATTTAAATTTCATCATCATTTTATTTTATAGGGAGAGAGAGAGAGAGAGAGAGAGGAGGGAGGAGGGGAAAGCAAAACGCTTAAACGTTTTTTAATGGTTTTCATAACATAATACTTTTTGTTTTATAGAGTTTTTCAATAATGATAATGAAGAATCTAATTTTTTTTTTTTTTTTTGATTTTAATGAGATTTATTTAAAAATTCGACAACAACAAAAAAAAATTTTCAATTTAATGGAATCGAGAGGGAGAGTGTGGGGGGAAAGGGGGGGGGAAAACAAAAGAATTTTCAAATTTATGCCTTGTGGTTTTTTGTTTTTTTTTTTTTTTTAAGCAACATCGAAAATATAACACTTTTTCTTTTTTTTTTTTCTAAATGTTGTGTTTCTTGTAGAGTTTTCTTCCAACCGTAAAATAATTCCTTTCTATTTTTTTTTTATTTTTTTCGACATACTCTTTGACGCGCGAATCCTTAAAAAATTTCTTTTTATTTTTAAACATTTAACAATTTTGTAAAAATTTAAATCATGTTCTTGTTCCTCTCCTTTTATTTATTTAACTCGAAAAAAAAAAAAAAAAAAGAAAAAACAGTCGAATAACTTTGAAAGTATTTTTTTGCGTTCTGAATTTCTTTAAATGGCATACGAACCGGGCCCGGGGTTTTGGCAACGATTTATTAATAAAAAAAAAAAAATACTTATGTATGTATGTATATTAAAAATAAATTGAAATTCTTTTCAGGCTTGCATTGACAATAATTTGGACATGGTTGAATTCTTAGTCTCTCACGGAGCCGACGTTAACCGTGGCGACAACGAGGGTTGGACTCCTCTTCATGCAACCGCTTCCTGCGGTTTCATAAGCATTGCCAAATACCTTATTGAAAATGGAGCAAACGTGGCCGCTGTTAATAATGACGGTGAATTACCATTGGACATTGCGGAATCGGATGCAATGGATGATATACTTCAAGAAATAATCGATGCTCAAGGTTTGTACTTGTTCATTCGTTTTCCTTAAAAAAAAAAATAAAAAAATAAACTGCAATGCTTTGAATTGTTTCGACGGTGGCGGTTTTAATTTCAAAAAAAAAAAAATAATTAAGTAACAACATAACATAAAGGGCAAATTTTTTTTTTAAAAGTGCCACTTTATCAGTTTATTTATAAATTCAAAATTATGCAATTAATCGAATATTTGCGTCCGAAACGTGACTTGTAAATAAGATGTTTAAATAAAAACGGTTTACTAACTTTTTTTTTTTTTTTTAGTCGCGATTTTTTTTTTTTTTTTTTAAACGTACGGTACGGGGTCGAACCTGGGAAAGAAAAATAAAAGCGTTTTTCTTTTTTTTTTTTTTTTTTTTTTTTTTGGGGGGGGGAGTTTTTATCTCATAAGATATTGAAATGAAATAGCAAAAGTAATGTGTTACCACCGCGAAAAGAAAGAAAGAAAGTAAGGATGATGATAAACATATCGATTACAAAAATTTTCCGCGGAAAAACAAAAATGGACGAGTTTTGTTTTTTTTTAAAAAAAATGAAATCGTTCATTATTTATAACTAACCTATCCAAGTGGGTCAATCTCGAAGAAATTTAGTCTTTTAAGAAAAAAGAATTTTTTACGTATTCGTTTTTCACGGTTAAATGAAAAAGGAAAAATTCATGAGATGATCGCATCGATGAGTGTTTTTCTTTCTGAGTGTGTTACGTCGTTGACCTTTATTTATGAATTTTTTTTAGTTGAAGAAAAAGTTGATTAATACGAATGGTCATGAAAGATTATAGAAATGTTGGTTTAAAAGACCGCCAAAAAAAAAAAAAAAAAAATGTCGAACGGGGATTGATCTCTGAAGGGATTTATATCAAATCATTAAAAAAAATAAGTAGTAATAATGAATTCTCACGTTGTTTCGTATGCAAGAACAAACAAACAAACAAGATGTTATAAAAAAATATATATAATGAATTGCCATATATTGAATGTTGATTTCGCTAATAAAAAATAATTACGTTCGGGAAGATCAGGTTTTCCACGAGGTTGAATTGGAAACTTTCATTTTTTTTGTTCTGCAATTTATTCAAACATATTTTTTAAGCCATTTTCTGATGTTTTTTTTTTTTTTTTTTTTTTTTTAAATTCTAATGAATGTAAGAGTTTGTAGCTTGTAATATTTAAATACTTTGTCATTCGTATGCAATTTGTTAATTAACGTTTTTTTTTTTTTTTACGACGTTCCTCCTTTGTTATGCGAAAAATTTTTCTAAAAAAAAAAAAAAAAAAATGGCTCGAAATGGTTAATTTATTATTATTATTATTATTATTATTTTTTTTTTTTAATTAAATGTTTGAACGGTTAATAATATGTTTCAAATATATCGTAATTAATTAATTTTAAGAGTACAACAAACAAGAATGATTCGAATTTTATAAAAATTAAAATTGTTTTCAACTAAACAAACAAACACTTATTACGGAGTAAGTTTGTTTGTTTGTTTTTCTTCAGCGGTTAAAACGCTTTCTCTCTCTAATCCTTATTTAAAAAATTTTGTTGTTTTGTCTGGATTAGATCACAAGAGGAAAATATTTATTATTAGGGGGGGGGGAAACGATTTTTTCCCTATTTGTTGTGGGTTTTTAGTATTCTTAGTCACGTGGTTCAAACAATTTTACATTAAAATTATAAGTTTTTTTTTTTTTTATATTCATTTTTTCAGGAATCGATTGTGACGAAGCAAGGAATAGGGAAGAAATAATTATGCTTGAAGATGCCAAAGATTGGTTTAACGGTGGAGATAACATTGATCCTTTAGTACCTCATCCTAAAACTGGAGCGACGGCTCTTCACGTTGCTGCGGCCAAAGGATACATTAAAGTCATGAGTATTTTATTACAAGGTACATACCTTTTCCCCCCGGCCTCCCCCCCCCGATATAAATTTTATAGAATTTTTTTGAATTCCCAAAGAATTTGAGTTTGTGGTGATGAATTAAATTGTCACTTCAAAATTATCTTTGGTAAATTAAATCCTTAATGATTTTTCCTTTTTTTTTTTTTTTTTAATTATCATTAAAAATTTATCGTCATTAAGAAACAAAACAATTTTTCTAATTTAAGAGTTTAAAATTCGTTTCGTTGTATTGAAAAATTTTTAACGTCATTTTCCAATGTTTGATGCCTTGTTTTCCAGGTCAAATTGACGTCGACGTTCAAGACTTTGATGGTTGGACGCCTTTGCATGCTGCAGCACATTGGGGTCAAAAGGAAGCTGCGGAAATGTTGGTCGAAAATTTTTGTAATATGGATATTAAAAATTATGTTGTGGGTTTTTTTTTAAAAATTTGATTTTTAAAGTTTGATTTTCGCTCGAATGGTTTAACAAGTTAAAAATTTAATTTATTTGAAGGGTCAAACTCCTATGGATGTTGCCGACATTGCCATGGTTACTGTTTTGGAAGATCTCCGAACGAAACAGGCTGCTTTGCAAAAGGATCGCCCTCCTCCTAGCAATTTACACAATAAGGCACTCAACTCACCAAAAAGACGGTAACTTTAGTTTTTTTTTTTTTGTTTTCCTTCTCGTGGAATATAAACCTTTTTTAATAAATCCCTTTAAAAAATAAAAAAATTAAAATTAATATTATTTTTTAGGTCTTCTGTTACTAGAATGTCGGTGGCAGATAAAACTAATCTTATTAATAAGGACACTTCATCCGAAAGGCAGTTGCTCGACCGCGCCATTTCCGAAGAACCTAGTAATAAAGTTAAAAAAGTCGAAATTGACGTTGAGGGAAAATCGGAAAAGGAAGAAGTTGCAACATCTCCATCTGAGGAAAGTAACGTGGGTGAGTAGATTTTCTTTTTTTTTTTTTTTTTTTTGATTTTTAATTTCCGGCGTTTCGATCACGTTTTTCTCGACGCAGTATTTAAAAAATTTTAAATCCGAACAAAAAAAAATGGTTTCCTAAAGGTTTAGAAAATAATGATAATGATAATGATATTGTAATTAATCGTCAAATTCCTTCGAAAATTTTAACTTTGCATGCTTTCTGTAAAACAAAAGACGATGATAGCGAATCTTGGAGTGATGAAAGTTCCGAGTTCAGCAATTCAAATGATGTTGAACTCGAGTGGATTGAAATCGGTAAGAATTTTCACGGATATTTGAATGAGAGACAATTTTAGGAAAGATAAAAAAAATATCATTTTATCAGCCGATTTATATATTTTTATATATTAAAAAAATATTTCAGAAAAGAAAAATCGCGTCAACATGGACGACTCAACTCGAATACCTTCTTTACCGGATCTAAATAAAACTGCTCTCAGTTCTCAAACCTCTCTGGAAGAAGAATCTCCCAGTTGGAGAAGGCCCGGTTCGTTTAGAAACAAACCGCAAACAAACGAACAACCTTCAAAGAATTTAACATTAAGTAAGATTTTTAACTTTTTTTTTTTTTTTTTTTTTTTTAACAATGAAGATCAGTTTTAATTTTTTTTTTTTTTTTTATGCAGATGTAGACAAAAAAGCATTACCAAATAAGCCTTCTATATTTCCCAATGAAGTCGTGTTAAGAAGAACTCATAGTTTTGAAGCAGACGAAAAGTAAGTGAAAAACAATTATCATAAAGCAAGAATTAAAATTTTTTGTTTTTTGTCGTTTCGTGCTCATAACTCGTGTCTGTTTTTTTTTTTTTTTGTTTTGACGGCATTTATTTTTGCATGTGTGCGTGTTGCTTTAGGTTTTATCGCAGGTACCTGGAGCTTCAAGCTCGCATTGCTAGTTCTTGTCCAGCTCTTCACCCTCCTACGGGACAACCCATTGTGCGTCTTCCTATAAGGTCAGCTTCTTTTAGGGAACGTCAAGCGTCTAGTAGGTGTGTAGACCCTTTTTTTTTTTTTTTAATCGCTTTTATTGCCGAGTAATTTTAAATGTACATCATTGTGATGATGTTTAATGTTTCGCACGTGAATTATCGTTTGTCTTTTCTTTTCTTTTTTTTTTTTAAATTAAACTAATTTGGGTATTTTTTTTTTTTTTTTTTATGTTGACAATTTTAAAATTAACCCTTAAAATCAATTTTTTTTTCTAATATTGGATTTTTCTTTCAAAGTGAATTATAAATTAAGTTGAACGTGAGAAATGACGGGGTTTTGGGAAAAATAAATATTTACTTTTAAACAAACATTTAATAATACAGGCGTTTTGAAATCAATAATTTGTAATAATAACAAATCTTAAATTCAAAATTTATTTTGTAATAATTTTTGAAATTTTATCGTTTTTTTTTTTTCTAAACGTTTCAGGCGAGGATCTAAAGAGGAATCTAACAACACGAATACAGAGTCTTCCGCTTCAAATGTTCCTGTGACGACGACAACAACGCCAATGACGAAAACTGTAGGGACAACACAAATAACCACTACCTCAAGAACCGTTTCATCACCCACGCTTATCACTCAACCATCAATAGGAAGGTTCGTGTTAATAATAATAATAATTTTTTTTTTTTTTAATAAAGTAATGAAAGAGCGATTGTAATAATAATGATAGTACTCTAAGATGGTAAATGTTTTATTTCGCGGCGTTCAGTCAAAAATGAAATTATATTAATGACGTTTTTAAAATTGAACTAATTCGTTTGAGTGGGATAAATTTTATAGCAATACAACCGAAACACCTACCCCGAGTACGCCGACGACACCGACCACTCCAGGTGGAAGTAAACTTAGTCCCGGAAATATCTTCAAAAACTTTTTCAAGTGAGAAAGATTAAATAAATAAATAAATAAATGATAAAAAATTAAAATGAATGCAATTTTGATTGTCAGACTAAACTTTTTTTCTTTTATTTTTTTTTTTTGTTATTTGATTTTATTATTTATTTATTTATTTTTAATGAATTACGTACGAAAAAAAAAAAAATACAATTTTTGCGCAGTGCTTTTTACAAATATTATTTATATAAATTTTTTTTTTTATTAATTTAACGGCTTTTTAATGTTTTCAAGTTTTTTTTTTTTTAAATTGTTCGTTAATATCGAAGACGGCGATTTTATTATTATTATTTTTTTTTTTTTTTTTTTTTTTATAAATTGCAGTTATGAATTTTTTTTTTGATTTTAAATAATTCTGCGATTGTTGAGGCATGGCTGTTTTTTTTTTTTTTTTTTTTTTTTTTTTCAAAGCTTTAACGTTTGTTGATTGCGATCATCAAATTTACCAATGCTTTAAAATGCTTCGTTTTGACGTTTCAGGTCTTTTGTACCTCCGGTAAGAGACGAAGAAAGTGAAACTCAAAGAAAAGCTCACGCGAAAAGAGTTAGAGAAACGAGACGATCAACGCAGGGTGTCACGTTGGAAGAAATCAAATCGGCCGAACAACTCGTTAAAAAAAGAAATCAACAATCGTCTGCTAATAATAATAATAATAATAATAATAATAATAATAATGATCAGGTAAATGATTGATTATCCAAAAAAAAAAAATTTTTTTTTCGAAGCGGTTTTTTATTCGCCCCGTCGCGGTCGATGATAATATATAAAACGCGATGAAATTTTATTTTATCATAAAAATATAATTTGTTTTTATATACAATTGGCTTGTGTGTGGATTTAACAGACAATAATGTCATCTGTTTTGGCATCGGCAACGATAACAACAGCCCCGACGACGGCAACAATACCCGCAAAAGATGAAGATACAAGTCACGAACGTAGGCCCTCTTGGAGGCTGAAAGTGGACAATAATAATAAGGTGTTTATAAAACAGTTAAAGTTTGGAATGTTTTCCTTTTTTTTTTTTTGTAGTAATCTGTAGTTAACGGTTTTTTTTGTTTTGAACGGTTTGTTTCCTTCTTCATTGAAATATTTAAAATGAAAAATTTCTTTAAGGTGAATAATAATGTGCCGGAGAAAAATAATGTTAAATAATTTAACAAAGTTATTGCTTGCTGTTGTCCGTCCGACTGTTTGTTTTTTGCAAAAAAAAAAAAAAAAAAAAAACGGATATTTATGCTAGTATTATCCGTTAATTAAGTTTATCTGAAATCAATGAATTTAATCAATTTTTTTTTTTTTTTATTCATTTTCAGTTCCTCCTCGAAGATGCCAGAACGAAAACAAATTCAACTGCCGAAGATACCTCAACTTATGTCAGGAGACCACCTACTACGGGTACGACCGTCAACGCGTTGACCGCGGCAAATAATTTGTCAACGGATAATACGGGAGAAACAACGGTAACCGTGCCTCTGAGACAAAGGCAAACGAAATTAGATGACAAAGAAGACAAGGAAAATGATTCCAGAAGTGCCCTTGCAACTCAAGCCGTTATACAAAGGAGACGTAAACCCAAAAGACGATCAACGGGAGTCGTTCACCTGGATATGGATGTAATTGTCTTTTTTAATAATGTCCCCCTCCCCTCCCCCTCCCCTCCCTCTCTCCCCCCTCAATTCTACTCGTACTTATTTTTTTAATTATTGTTTTAATTTTTTTGAATGATTGTAGGAAATTGATCCCGAGCGTCAAGATTCGGGTGGAGCAGGAGATTCGGAAGTAAATAAATTAAATAACGAAGTGGTGAGTTTATATTTAAAAATTTATATTTTTTATACCTGAAAAGAGAGAGAGAGAGAGAGAGAGAGAAAAAACATGCGTTGCACACTTTGATAGAACGACAAGCCAAAACTCTGTTTTTTTTTTTTTTTAATAAAAAGAAAAATAAACACGAATCGAACGGTCAGCAAGCGTAGGTGGTTATATTGGTTCTTAAAACGGTTTGGCTTTGATATTTATCACACGCACACGCACACGCACGCACTCACGCACACGTTCTAGGAAATGGTGAAAAGACAAATGTTTTTCTTTCTTTTTTTTTACAACCCACACACGGTTTGACGATTTCCCACTTGAAATGTGTCGTCGCCCTTGGACTTTTTATACTCTTGAGCGCTTTCAAACGAAAGGAATAAATTTTCCTGTTTTTTTTTTTTTTTGATGTATTTTTCTCTTTTTTGGAATTTATTCGATGAAGATGTTTAAAATTTGAATGCTTTCAAGTCCGAATGATGAGAGAGAGTGCGTGTAACAATAAAAACATGTTTATGTTCTTCTTTAAAAAAAAATATTATTCGAGTACTTGCGAGTACTTGTAGTGGGATAAAAAAAAGTTACTCTAATCATTGCTCATCTCTCGCTCTCAAAACCATATCAAAAATGGATCGTTTAAACGGGGTATTTTAGTGTGTCAGTTTACGCGGGGAGAATGAAAATTTCATATATAAATGTTTATTTTTAGATTAAGAAGAGCGATTGCAGAAGAAAAAAAGTAAGCAAAAAAAATTTTTTTTTTTTTTGTGTGTGTGTGTGTGTTTACGTGTTTACGAATTATAAAAAAAAAAATTTAAATTTTCTGGCTTGGGCCAAAGGAAAATTTTGTTTGACAAAATTATTTTCGTTATGTTTTTTTTTTTTTTTTTTTTTTTTAAACGTTTAAATATCGCAAAGACATTTTGATCGATTGAAAATTTGAAAATTTCCCACTCGCCCTCCCCTTCGTCTCCCCCCCCCTTCGTTCGATGTATTTTTTGGCTGGTTTGGGAAACAAACGTTTAAACTAAACTTACGCGAACGTTTCTCCTCTTTTCTTACCCCCCCCCTCCCCTCCCCCTTTCTCCCCTCGCTCGCTCGCTCTCTACCTCCGTTAAATGAAGTATAAAAAGAAATTGAATCGAATTAAATTTGACCCAAAAGTTTATTTAACATTATCGTAATGAGGTTTTTATTACAGGATTACCTTGGATTTTCTTTTTTTTTGTTGACCTATTTTAACTGTTGATTTCATCTGTGACAAAATTTGAAAGTTGGAAAGTTGGGAAATTGCGAAAATTGAAAAGTTATTTTAAGATTTCAAATAATGTAAATAATTGCCTACCGTTTTCTTTTTGTGTTTTGAATTTAACGACTCTTTTTTTATTCGAATTTTTATATATATATATATATAACAAATAATAATAATTAAACCGTTAAATTTTTTTGTGTTTTTAAATGTTTTAAAGTTTCGATTCGAAAATGGCGGTGAAAAAATTTGTGATTTGTTTCTCTCTCTCTCTCTCTCTCTCTCTCACACGTGAATGAGTCGATCCGACACTGAATTCTAAAAAAAAAAAAAAAAAAAATGAAAACGTTCCAAGATTTGTAGTAACATCTGTAGTTAATATTCATCGGTGATCGAAGTCGTTACGGTGCGAGTTTTTTTTTTTTTTTTTAAATAATAATATTTATTTTAAAAAAAACAAATGTCGTATTCAAGAACGATGGGATCCGCGTCTCGGGATCCTCGGAGATCCGCGGGAGTTTCGTCATCCCTTCGAACAAATAATCGTTCCCGTAACACGGGGTATTTTTCACCATCCGGAAATGGTGGATACTCGAGTTATTCTAATCCGTACGGTAGCGGAAATTCTCTCGGTCACTCGTACGGAAGTAATTCATACGGCTCGTACGGAAGTTATCATTCGCCGCCATCTTATTCGAATTACGGAAATTCTTATTCGACTTACGGCGGCACGAATTCCGGATACGGATCATTACATTTACCGTCGGGATCGTCCGTTAGCTCGTACCTGACTTCGCCTTCTTCGTCTTCGATGAAACACCTGTCGCCGAGCCTTTATTCTAAACCGATATCTAGGTCTCCCACGAGATCCGTAATGGGATCCAGAACTGGATCAACTTCGAGTCTTTTAAGTTTAAAGAGTTCCGAAGGGTCCGAGGGTTACGGCGTAAGGAGAAAATTTTTCCCGAATTTGTTGCCCATTTTTTTTTTTTGTCGTTTTTGATCATTTCATTCCGCGTTGACAACAACATGGATGTGCTTTTCTTTAATTTACCACTTTAATTTTTTGCAGAGTGACGACAAGTCCGGACGATCGTCGAGAGTTAGTTCAGTGTCATCGTCCGGAGTCAATGACGATTTCTCTACGAGGTTACAAAATAACGATGTGACCGAAAACGGCGAAATCGACTACAAGAAATTGTACGAAGAATCAAAAGCACAAAACGAGAGGCTAAAGGAAAAATTGAAAAAGACTGAAGATGAATTGACGGATGCTAGGAGTAATTTAGAAAAACATGTAAATACGGACAAAGCGTCGCTGTCGGAAATGGAAAAGAGGGAAAGACGAGCTTTAGAAAGGAAATTATCGGAAATGGAGGAAGAGCTTAAGGTACGTGCACAATTTTCTATTACCATTTTCGTGTGATGTCACGTGACATTTTCTTTTTTTTTTTTTTTTTTGGTCCTTTGAGAGAAAGGAAAGGTCGAAGGTAGAGTTGTTGGTGGTGGTGGTAGTGGTGGTAAAATATGTGTACCAATTGAATATTTTTGTTGTAGTTTTTGTTGTAGTTTGTGTTGCACATTTGCGAAATTTTCCTTTTAAATTCGTCGTCGTTGATTTTTTTTTTCCTTCCTCTCTCTCTCTCTCTCTCTCTCTCTCTCTCTCTCTCTCTGCCAAAAAATTTTCGTTTGGTGTTTTTCTCGTGTTTATTTATCATCGTTTTGATTTTCTCTCTTTTCTCACTCTTTCCCTTTCCCCCCCCCCCCCTCCCCGGCTTCCCTATCGAAACGATTTAATTTTTTAAAAAGATTGATTGTAAATTTATACGTTGAAAGAAAAGGCTTATTATTATTATTATTATTATTACTATCGTTTCATAGAAAGAGAAAACATTTTTGAAAATTAACGTAGTTTTTATTTTTAGAAAAAAAAAAAGAAACATTTTAGTTGAGAAAATTAATAATAAACAAACGAGAAAATAAAAAACTATAAATAAAAGTCGTTAAAATTTTTTTTTTTTTTTTTGTTTAAGTTCAAAACGTTTAAAAAAGTAAAAAAGGTAAACCGTTGAATGAACCTTTCGCGACGTTTTCTTTTTTTTCCTTTTTTCCTTTTACCGCGACTCGGTTGGATATTTAAAATATTTTCAAACTGCTTTCGTTCATTTTGTTATTAAACAAACGGAAATCCATCAGGAAAAAGGAGGGGAAACACGTGGCGGGGGGGGGTTGAGGAGAAGGAAAAAAGTCAATGGAAAAAGCCCCCAATCATTATTCTCTCATCGCTCACTCACGACACCTTTTTAATCGTTTAAAATTAAATGAAAAACTTTTTCAAGTTGGCAAAAGAAAAAAAAAGAAAAAAAAGCAAAATATAATAATATATTTTCCGACAGCAAAAGAAAATTTTTTTTTTTTTTTTTTATTAAGAAAAACGACAGGAAATATTTTTACGATAATTACGTTGTTTGTTTTTTTTTTTTTTTTTTGTCGATGATTAAAAGTCATGCTCGCGTTTTGTTTTTATTATTATTATTATTATTATTATTATTATTATTATTATTATTATTATTATTATTATTATTATTATTGTTATTGTTATTGTTATTGTTTTTTTCTGTCGCAATAAAAATTTTTGAAATTTGTCGATCGTTTCGGGGGGGTGAGGGGGAGAAAAGGGGAGGGGAAAGTGCGGAAAAGGAAAATAAAATCCGAAAATAATTTTTTGTTTGTTGTTTGATTATTATTATTATTATTATTATTATTATTATTATTATTATTATTATTATTATTATTATTATTATTATTATTATTATTATTATTATTATTTTTAAATCTTACGTCAATTTTTTTTTTCTCTTTTCTCTTTTCCCTTTAAGTTTACTTTTTTTTTTTTTTTTTTTTTTTTTTTTTCTTTCTCCGTTTCTCCGACTGTCTGTCTGTTTGTCTGTCTGACTGACTGACTGACTGTTTGTTTTCGTTTGTTCCTTAGAACTTTTTTCTTTTTTTTTTTTTTTTTTTTTTTTCTCTCTTGGGAATCGTTTTCATTGGCACGGTCTGTATCTTTTCAGCAATTACAAAAGCTGAAAGCAGAAAACGAACGTTTGAAAGCTGAAAATCGAGCTTTAACACGCGTCGTGTCAAAACTGACGAATTCTTCACAAAAGTGAGGTAAAAAAATTTAAAAAAAAAAAAAAACAAAAAAACAAAAAAAAAAAGATGCTGCTGATGCTGATGCTGCTGCTGATGCTGCTGTGGCATGGCTCTCTACCATTATAATCGTTTTCCATAATGGTCGTTTTTTTTTTTTTTTTTTTTTTTTTTTGCGTGTGTGTAATTCACCAACGTTATTTTTATTAATTATTATTATTATTATTATCATTAGTTTTTCTTTTTTTTTTTTTGTTAAATAACGATTTGAGCTTTTTTGCTTTGACGTTGCTGTTTGTTTTTTTGTTTTTGTTTTATCTGTGGTTGTTGATTCGTTCGTTGAAAGAAAAGAAAATTACGTTTAAATGTTTGTTTTTACTCATTATCATCATCATCATCATCATCATTATTATTATTATTATTATTATTATTATTAAATAGGAAAATTGTGATTTGAGAAATGCATGACTTTTTTTGTTTGTTTGTTTAACCGTCGGTTGATTTGATTTTATTTTTAATTTTTTTTTTCTCTTAACTGTAAATAAGAAAAAATTTCTACGACGGTTACGATAAATGTGTGTGCGTGTGCGTGTGCGTTTGTGACATTAAATTTCTCAGTAGTTTAAACCCTTTTCGTATTTCCTATTTTCTTTGTTTTTCTAACCGAGGTCATTAACATTGAAATTGTGCCATTTAAAAAAAAAAAAAAAAAGAGAAAAAAAAATGTCGCATTATATTTATTTCTACTCAAAAAACTTATTAAAAAAAAGTTCGCCGTTTGTGTTTTGAAATGATTCGGGAAGGTGTTGGTATGAGTGCGAAAAGCAAATCAGGTCAGCCAACTTGTTTTTTTTTTTTTTTTTTTTTTTTTCGAAAAATTTCGAAATCGGAAGTTAATCGTTCGTTATATGAAGACTAAATAATAACAAACAAACAAACAAACACACGTGGTGGTAAACATTGAAACACAAAAACAAACATAGCCTTTTGTTTACAATTTTCTTTCCCCCTCCCCCTCCCCCCTCTCTCTAGCCCCCTGTTATTATTTTAGAGCCTGGTGATGACAAATTATTAATAATGTCTCCCGTCATTTTTTTTTTTTTGTTATTAATGTACATAATTGTGTAAAAACTCCAAACAGATTTTTTATAAATAAATTAATTTTGCTTTTGTTTTGATTATTTTCAGTTATTAGAAACGTTAAAAGCAGAAAATCAGAGATTAAAAGATGAAAATGGAGCATTGATACGAGTCATTAGTAAGTTAAGTAAATGATCTTTGGCCAATAATAATAATAATAACAACAACCAAATGGGGGAAGAAAAAAAAAAAAAAATAAAGTAAAGAATGAATGAAAGGAGGAGGAGGAGGAGGACGAGACAAAAAAAAAACATTATTATTATTATTATTATTACTATTACTATTATTATTATTTTTGTGAACTAACGTTATCATTTGAGAGAGAGCATATGGAGAGAGGAGAAGGAGGAGGCCATAAGGAGGAGAAGAGAGAGAGAGAGAGAGAAGAAAACGCAGGAACGCAGGAAATTTCGTTTCATTTTTTTAATGATTTATTATTTTAAAAAACCGGAAACGACAGAAAACAGGAAACAACGTGAACGATAGCAAAACAAACAAACAAACAAACAAATTTTTAAAAAAAAATCGGTTGTTTTGTATAGGGTAGGGAGGGGATGGAAATGAATAATATTTTAGATTTAAAAAAAAAAAAAAAATAGAAGGGGGGGGGAGGAGATGATGGTTGAGATTTTATTTTATTAATTTTTAATTATTATTATTATTATTTATTAATTCGTGTCGAAATGTTTTATTTAAATTATTAATTATTATTATTATTATTATTATTACGATTATTACTATTATTATTATTAGTATTTTTATTCAAGGTCAAAAAAAGGCGCCTATTTTAAATTTTTAATTTGCAGTAATTGGAGCGTTTGATGATGCATTCCGAGTGACAGAAACTTTTCTTTTTTTTTTTTTTTTTTTAAGTAAGCAATTCTTTGAATGTAATTAGGGGGGGGGGAGAGGGAGAGAAAGAAAACCTTTCAGTATATATTACAGTAAAGTATTTTACATATATATCAAAACACAAGCGGGGGGGGGGAAATCATCTCAAGCGTTTTTTATTTTAAATTATTTATTATTTTATTTATTTAGACGATTTGTTTTTGTTGTTGTTGTTTATTATTATTATTATTATTATTATTATTATTATTATTTCTCGTGCCATTTTAAGTAAACAAATAAAATTTTCCTTTTTCGAAAGGAAAATCGAATCTCCCGTGTTTTATTTATGGATTTTTTATTTGGGGAAAAAAAAATCATTTTTAATTGTTTTTTTTTTTTTAATTTACGTGTGATTATTATTATTATTATTATTATTATTATTATTTTATTTATACACAAAAAAGAAATACAGTATTCAATTATGCTCAACCATCAACTCGGAAAAAAAAAAAAATTTTCTTTTTTTTTTCTCTCAAGTATTTTATTCTGCTAAAAGAATTATTTTTTAAATCAAATTTTTCTTTTTTTTTTTTTTTTAAATAAGTTTTTTAAAATGTTTACCGTAAATGTTATTATTATTATTATTATTATTATTATTATTATCGTTAGTATTTAAATATTAAAAAATGATATTTATTATGATTTGAAGTTTACACTGTGCACACACACACACACACGAATGGAAAAAAAGAAAAAAATTTTATTAAAATGATCGATTAATTAATTTTTTTTTTAGTAAAAGAATAATAATAATAATAAATTGTCGTCATCATTGATTTAAAAAAAAGCTTTAAATAAAATACAATAATGAAATCGATCGATTTTTTTTGTCATTATTGGGGGGGGGGAGGGAAGGGTTTTAATAATGGACGAGCAGTAGCTGAGCAAAATTTTTTTTTTTATTAAAATTCCTGGTAAAATTTGTAAGAGAGTCGAATGGGAGGAGAGAAAGAGAGAGGGGGGGTGGGCGGGAGAGAAAAAGGGGAGGAGCAAAACGGAGTAAATTTAGTAGGGGGGGGAGGGATTGTTTGTTTAAATGTTTGATTAAATGGATTTCTAGCCTTATTGTGAGCTTGTTTGCTCGTTGACAATACACGTATTTATTATTATTATTATTTTGTCTATTGTAACATATTCGTATATATATATATATATATATTTATTTATATATATTATATTATTTATAGTATGAACGTACACACACACACACACACGTATATATAATTTCTAAATTATACGTTATTATATAAATTGTGTATTTATAAAAAAAAAAAAATAACCGGGGAGCGAGGGGGGGGGTGGAAGAGAAAAGAAAATAATAATAATAATAATAATAGTAATTTCTGTGCCTTTTTTTTTTTTTAAATCGTTTTTTAATATGGAGCCAAAGAAGGTTTGTTTTTTTTTTTTTTTTGACGAATAATATGTGGAGATTTGAGAAAGGAAAAAAAAGGAAAACATTATAACAGAACAAAATGATGATAATAATAATATTAATTAATAAAAAAAAAGAAAAAAAAAAAAAAGAAAATCCAATCAGTTTGTAAATTATGTATTTTAGCTACTGCTATTCGTTATTATTATTATTATTATTATTATTTTTTTTTTTTAACCACGTTGTTTCAATTTATTAAAGTACTTAATAAATAAATAAATAAATGGTTTATTTTTTTATTTTGTGTAAACAGAATTAAAAAAATACCCAGTATTTTAATATTTTTACGTTCATGTTTCGATTCTAATTATTATTATTATTATTAATTATTAATTTTAATTTTTTTATTATTATTATTATTATTTATAAGAATTTATATATGTAAAAAAAAAAAAAAAAAAAATTAAAATAATTTTTTTGGATTGTATCTCTAGTCTATTAAATTGAATTTTTTGTAATAAATTAATATTAAAAAAAAAAAAAAATGAAAAAAAAATAAAATAAAATAACGTGTATTGTTTTTACATTTAAAATAAGTAAAGTTTTATTATCATTATTATCAATATTATTATTATTATTATTATTATTACCGATTTTTTTTTTTTTTCTCATAAAATTTTATTAATATCGTCGTCGTCGTCGTCGTTAATTTTTTTAATAAATGTGAAACGATTTTGATAAAGTTTATTTATTTTTTTGATTTATACATAAATACATAATTTTTTTTGGCTTATTAAGTTTATTAATAATAATTAATTAATTAATTAGTAGTTTTGCTTGGAATGTTTTCATCTCGTGTATTATTAATAATAATAATAATTTTCTTATTAATTTTTAACTAAAATGTCTACCGGAAGACTGATTACCTTGCCACTTGGTAAATAATTAATAAATAAATAAATAAAGTAAATAAATTATTTAAATTTTAAGTATTATTATTATTATTATTATTATTATTATTATTATTATTATTATTATTGTTACTATTACTATTATTATTATTTATATGTTCTGTTCTGTTGTTTTTTTTTTTTCATTATCATTTTCTTTTTTTTTTTTTTTGTCTTATTTTTGATTAATTTTTTGTTTGTTCGTTCGTTTTTGATTTGATGATGATGATGATGATAATGATTTTTTCTGTTTTTTTATGGCTACAAATCGTGCAATCGAATTATATATAAATATATAAAAAAATGTGATAAAATTAATTATTTGAGGGGCACACATCACTAAATTCTCTAAAATAACGCACTCGTAAATACATAACAAATGATATTTAATTCAAAATAAATAAATGGGAATGTGAAAAAAATTTTTTTTTTTTTAATAATTATACATATTATTATTATTATTATTATTATTATTATTATTATTATTATTATTATTATTATTATTATTATTATTACAGTGTATCAGTCTATCAGTTTATTATATAAAGTGTATCAGTCTAAAGAAGAAAGAGAGAGAGGGAGAGAGAGAATGTGGGATTATTAAATAGTATAAAAAAGGTGGGTGGAAAATTTTTTTATAAAATTTATTAATTAATTAATAATAATGATAATAATAATAATGAGTTTTTTTCTTAATTTTTTATTTTCAAATTAATAATAATAATAATAATATTTATTTAATTTTACATGTGTTCAAAATTTTACTCCGTCGATTGCATTTACAAAAAAAAAAAAAAAAGGAAAAAAAATAATTTTTTAATTTAAATTTATAGAAAAGAAAAAAAATTAAATAATGATAATAATAATAATAATAATAATAATAATAATAATAATAATAGTAAT